AGAATAGATTTTGTATAAATCTCAAAAAGTCGAAATACCTCAAAAATCCAAAATCAATTTTGGGAACATGTATAGTAATAATATAGTAATAAAGATTATTAAATTTAAATATAAAAAGAGATTGCTTCTATAATTTACAATTTTACAATTTTGAATTTTGATAAGAAAAAACCTATCTCTCGCCTAGTTAAATTTCTTATTTCCTGTTAATTATATTAATTGTATTATACAGATAAATTCATATAACTATAAAAATAATAAATAATATAACATGAATATGTTTATTTATTATTTAACAATGTCTAATAAAAAAAATAAAATATTAGTTAGTTATAATAATGAATCACTTGAAAATATATTAGGTGTTGAATTTAAAAATTATAAAGGTATTTTACCTTTGATTAACATTCCTATAGAAATTATAGAAGGTACACAGTTCATTTTTATATCAATTGTAATTCATTTTATAGAACAATATATATAACAGAAGAAATTTGCTATTATTAAATACAAAAATGAAATATTTCAAGATAGTACTTATAGAAAATAAATAATTAAATGTTTTTATTTTTATTTTTATTTTTTTTAAATCTAATGGAATCTTGCTTCAATACACTTTTATTAATAAATTAGATGTAAATTTTAAAGATACATATAATTTATTTTATATTTATTGAAATTAACTAAAAATAACATTTTACAGTTCGACTCATCATTACTTAAATATAATCTCAGGAACTAATAACCAAAACCTCATCAGTAAATATTTAAATGTGATTTAAAAGGAAGATATAGTAAGAAACTTTCAAAACTAGCATTAGACAAACAAAAAAATAAATGAACTAAAAAATATGAATATATATAATAAATAAATATAACACATTGTTGACTGTAATTACTTTTACTAAACACAATTAACTATCAACTAATAACAAGGAAACTATTGTTCAAAAAGTCATAAAGCAATTGGACGAATATGTTATAGTTGAAAGATTTTATACTTGAAGAGGTATAAGGAGTAAAGAATTTGATAATGCAAGTTTGTTTGAAAGAGGCTAAGGTGTGAGGATTTTAAAGGGATATGAGATTTAAACAATACAACACTAAGTCTACAAATATTCATAAAGAATATTATTAGTTTCACACAGAAACTACAAGAATTCACACAGAATTAATATAATTAACCAAGATCACGAAGCAAGGTTAATTATAAACAGAATAATACTGAGATCACAAAGCAAGGTATTATTATATAAGTATTTCACTAAGAAATCAAAGGTTTCAAATTATTATTTGTCACAAAGACTTTTATTAATAATTTATTATATATATCAAGTTTTAACTATCCTAACTCTAAGGACAAAAGCTACCTCTATTTATATAAAATTGTCATCCTGTTGCGAGACTATAATTACTAATCTTAAGAAAGCTCCAGAAATTTCTGTAACATTCTGAAAGATTCTATGAGCTATTTTGACTAATGAGTTATTTATGCTAGTGGTGTTTACTAGAGGTGACGACCAGAGGTATTAATCAAAGGTGTTAACCAGAGATTTTGATCTTGTATCACAATAAAAATGATCTACATCTGTTACTCATAAATAATAATATTAATATATAATATTATACAAATAAAGAAATCTAACTAATAAATTATGTTATTAAATATAATAATGTTAATAAATAATATATATAAGAATTAAGAAATAAACTAACAATATGGAAAAAATTTTTCAATTACAACTGTAACATTATTTATTAATAATTACAACTATAAACTTTTTAGTAAAACTATAGTATTTTATATAGTATACAAAGGTTTTTCTCAAGAAATTATGAAACAGATTAAATTTTATGTTATACACAAACATTGTGATACAACAATAATTAGAAATCTCCTTCAACTCAAATATTCTAATAGAATATTTTTATCTGATGATCTTAGTAATGCTATTCAAAAAATAAAATGAAAAAATGAATTAAATCTAAATGACACAGCATCATTATTGATGAAACTCTTTAATTATTAAAAAAATGATTCTAAATAATTCGTAAAATTATTAATTAATGATATTAGTAATAAATTATCACTCTTTGCAAAATTATGTGGTTATGTGAAAATTTGATAATATAATTGATAAGTATTCAAATACCAAATAAACAATATCACGTACATGATCTTCAAATTTAGGCCAATAAAATTTTATAAAAATTTATATCACGTTTAGATAATCTAATAAATTTTTATCAAAATTAAGTTTCGCATATTAAATTTAAAGATCATTTGTTTTTTATTTCTCTTGTTTTATACTAAATGTCTCCTAAAAAAACCAAAAGTTCAATTATTTATCAATTAGGCAACTGTTATATTTGCTCAAAATATTTATATTATTTTGAAATAGATAAAGAAAATTATATATGTAATAAAAATATTCGTCTTTCTAAAGTTAAAAATACATTACCTGGTTAACAATTTTATCCTTGTGCCTTTTCTTCAGATATATCTTTTTCACAAGTTAGTAAATTACTTCAAGATACTAATATAAAATTCCAATATGGAACTGATTTTAATTTATCCTTTTTTTATACACTTTGTTCTGCATGCAATAGTAAATATCAAAGAGCAAAATATAAAGATAAAAATAATTCAGCAGAAATATTGTTACAAGATGATGGCTCTGATGATGTAGCTACAACTTCAAGTAAGATAGAAGAGCTAAAATTATTTATTATAATTGAAAACAAACAAAAAAATAATGCTGCTAAAACATTAATAATTTCACCAGTTGAATTTGATAATATTATTAAAAAAATTCATTTATATATTTAAAAATCTCTTGATGATAGAAAACTCAATGTATTTGATTATTCTCTTCAATACAAAGTACTCAATAGTAGGGGTACAGCAAATACTTTGGAGGAAGAAACAGATTTTAATGATTTTTTAGACGAATATAAAAAAATAATTGGTAGTAATAAAAAAATGGGAATTAGTGTTATTCTTAATAGTATTTATATTAATAATAT